AAAAGAAGTTTCTCTCACCTTGGCTTCACTAGGGATGTTTGAGGTTTCCCCTGACCCCAGGAGGCTGTCTCCTATGGCAGCACTGCAAACATCAACACTGCTGACAATCTCTGAAGCTTTCCACCGAGCAGGCACAGCAGGACTGGAACTGCAGTGACTCAGGCACAGCCACAAATACTCCAGAGACAAAGGGCCATGAGCAACACTGTGTAAAATGCACRCACACAGAAACTGGGGTGAGTATCATATAGGGCTGGGGAGGAACATGGCCAGGCAAACAGGATTTGCTCCACGTAGCAATCAGACTGGTAAAGCAAAGTAAAACCCATAAACTGAAATCTTAATGACAAGTAAGTTTTGTTTTCACTTGGTTCTCCAATAAGCAATCGCAGAACCAGGATGAAGCAGATTTTTCTTAAGTTTAGGATATGTGAGGAAAATGRGCATGAAGAAGAAGGGAAAAGAACTTAAGAGRAGATGAAAAAAGTGACAAGATGCCTTGTTGCTGACTGTATGCTCCCTCTCCCCAGTTATCTGATTTATAAAAGCTTGGCAATTGCTGTCAGTAGCAGCAGAGATACTTTTCTAATTCAATAACTGAACAGGAGCAGTAGTAGGACTGCCAGGGAAAAGAGAACAGCCCCACACTGTACAACCCTCTCATGCCCTGGACTCTCTGCCTGTTGCCTCCAGCCCTCCTTCYGACCCCTCCCCATTCTTCATTTACTCCCTTCCTTCCGTCCTTCCTCTCATGTTCCCCAGCTGCCATTTCAGAGCTGCCTTTGCCTGGCCACCCCCTCAGCTTCAGCTGCTTTCAGACACCCACTGCATCGCTCTGCATTTGAAAATGAGCTGTCACATTTTCCAGCCTCTGAAGCAAGAGATTATTTTTGGGAGAGATGGTTTTGACAGTTCTGCCCTGCAATTCAAAGGCAGAGCACAGGGCAGGGGGAGAAGAGRAGGGAAGGTACAGCAGATGAACACACATACAGGGCTCCTGGCTGTGCACTCAGAAGGGACTGGAGGTCCCTGAGGGGAACAAAGCTCCCATGGACTGTGTGAGTCAAGGAACAGATACGTCTCCTCACTTCTGAGCAATGCTCTTTCCTGAACCAAGACCAGCTGCTACCAATGCAGCTACAGGACATGCCACTGAGATGACTGTGGAGCAGGCTTGTGGAGGACAGGCACAGCAAAGCCCCTCTCCACCTTCTCATGAAGTTCTTCACCCCACCTGCAACCTGATACCCCACACCACCAGGCAGTCCCTTACAAACCCCATGCTCCTTGCCAGACCCAGACCTCATCTGAAGATCTGGCCGAAAGAGGGGAAATGTAACAGGATTTTGACCTACAAGACCTACCTTTCTGTGCATTTTGACTGCAGCTGGTCAGTGCACAATGCAAAACCTGCAGGGCCTTGCACCTGGATGGTGGCAGCAGCAGGCAAGCACTGACATGGTGAGAACAATGCCCAAGGGTGAGAGGASACTCTCACACAGGGAGAATGAGCAGGAGGCTTCCCTAGTAACCAGACAAGCAGACTGRAGAGATGTGTGGCTGCAGAGGGTTGCTCTGGAAATTAAAGTTGAAACAAGGTGGTCTGCAAAGAAAGAGGGCAGCTGGGGACACAGGCCTGGAAACATCAGTGGCTGGAGATGTCAGTGGAGGAGGAATATATTAGGGAGGATCCAGAAGTGATTGAAGAGGCAGCAGGATATGAATGGCCATAAATGGTGCGGAGCAGAATCCAGCAAGTGWAGATTACTGGGAATGACCACAGAGAGAGGCTTTCATGGAGCAAAAGTAGTACAGACATCATGGGAAGAACAGTGCATTAGGAGTTATTAAGAAGCACTGTGTGTGYCAGGGGCACATCACACTGACAGCTGGGACAGGCAAACTGTGAGGATCTGGGGAGAATCACTGCTGGAAGGGGTGCCAAGAGCAGCAAGGGTGATCCTGCAGCAGCAACAAAGAGCTGAGACAGCTTACTGGGAAGCCAAGAGGAGGATGGGCAAGGAGGCAAAGCAAGGATGGGGGAAAGAGAAGAACAGAACAAAACAGAACAGGCCACCTGAAGCATGAGCTGCCATTGCAAGTCAGCCCTTTGCTATTTTCTCATAGTCACATAAACTGAGATATGGCCAAAGCTCCAAAGTATTTACAACAGCCTTGCTCAGTGTCCTCTGAAAGCCACCCTGACGACATGTCTAAAAGGCACATTATCAAGCTCAAACATTGCTATGCTAATTTCTTCACCTTTCCATTTTATATAAAATAATTGTATTCCCACCAAAGGCACTTTAGTTGTAGAAAATGACTGGAGAATAACTTTAACTTCCTCAAACAGTCCAGCACAAACATTCAACATCTTGTTATAGCAAGCAAACGAAAAATGGCTTCAGCACTTAATGTTACAGATCTTTTATTCATGTTTGCAACTGGATTTTTAACAGTAAAGTTCTYACTGTATCAGTAAAACATTTGTGTATATGCATTGCACACAAGTAAGGGTGAAAAAACGTGATGATTTTCTTCTGAATGTACAAGAGAAGCTATCAAGTTTTGTGAGTGAATTTATCACGTAGGCTTAAGCTGCAATGCTGGTGCAACTTCAACAGATTTTGTTTTAGTAGAAATAATATGCTTCAAATGACATTTCAGAATGTTTTAAGTAAAATCAGTTACAATCACAAAAACCATGACAGATCTTGCCATAAACAGAAAACACAGAATTTCACCAAGAACTATTGAGTATTTGTTCCACAACATTTATTTCAGCCAGGGCAGATGCAAACAGATGCACTTGTGRGCCAGGAGCTCTTTCCCCAGCTCTGTGTTGTGTGTTAGTAGCACCTTTTGGCAAAGGACAGCATATTCTGGGAGCCAAGCAACCCTTTTATCAACATCCTTTCCCCATTGATTTCAGTGCGAAACACACAGTAAACATACTTTTTCCTCTCAAAGACACCCAGAGATGTGGGATCCAACGGACTAATTTGTAAACAGCTGTTTGCTACTAGTAGTGAAAGGAGTTTGCATCATCCTGAAGTGAATTCTCTTTTGAGAATTCCCTCTAGATAAGCCAATTCATTTCCCAGCAGTGCCTGCAGGGCTCTTATAAAACCTGTCAGAAAGACAGGCGGATACCCAGGCTGCATAACCGAAATAGAGGATGGCAGATGCAGATTTCCCTCTACCAAGTGGCATGTTTTCCTAGAGGTGACAATTGTGTCAGCTGTAGGAGTCAGGAGAAAGGGATCCCACCACYGGCAGCCTGGTGCAAGAGGGCACAGTAGGAGAGCACATCCCATCAGATGTGTCTGGGGTACCACTGTGAAGCCAAACAACAGAGATTCCATCTACACACTATATCACTGGAAATAATGGAATTAAAGTTTTTGGGATTTTTTAAGTGTCTTCCTGGGAATAAAATTACCGCTCTTTTGTCAATATATGTCTTTGAACTGATTAAGTATTACTTTAAATTACATACAACTACGGTCATGTTCTGTAATGATTATATCCTCATTCTATTTTCAGGCTGAAGAAACTGCTCATTTCTTGCAGGTTGAGTTTTTTTCCTCTTTCAGGCATAACTAAACTGTCTGGGACAGGTGTTTCTTGTTTCCTGGCTTTCAGGCAAGTTACAGGAACATATCACCAGCTGTCAGACCCCTTCTGCCGACTGGGATTGGCTGACATGACAAAGAATTAAGCAGAATGAAAGAAAAGGACTGTGACACCATTGAAAAGGGGAAGGACAGGAAGAATGACAGAATCACAGAATCAATTAGGTTGGAAAAGGCTTCTGAGACCTAAGACCGAACACCACCATGCCAACTAGACCATGGCATTAAGTGCCACGTCCAGTCTTTCCTTAAACAACCCCAGGGACAAAGACTTCACTGCCTCCCTGAGCAGTCCATTTCAGTGCCTAATCACACTTTCTGTGAAGAAATAACTCCTAATGTCCAACCTAAACTGGCCCCTCTTGTGGATGGATAGGTGTCACTTTGGCCAGCTTCCAGTCATCTGGGACCACCCTGGTTAGGCAGGACTGATGAGAAATGATGAAGAGAGGCTTGGTGASCTCTTCCGCCAGCTCTCTCGTCATCCTACGATGAGTCCAATCCAGTCCCATAGACTTGTGAGCATTTCAGTGGCACAGCAGGTCACTAACTGCTTCCTTCTGGATTACAGGGGGTCCATTCTGCTCCCCGTCCCTCTCTACCATCTCAGTAGACCTGCTGTCCTGAGGATAACTGCTTACCGTTGTAGACTGAAGCAAAGGTGTTAGAAATAAAAAAGGATTAAAAAGGAAATGCTCTAGCAWACAAGACTGGATGGCTTAGGAGGAGAAGGAGCAGGGGAGATCTCTTAAGTGAGGCTCAATAAGCAGAAGGAAAGATACTGAACTATAACGAAGCATCAACAGCATTTCTAGAACCCAACACCACTCAAAGCTGCAGTCTGGCCTGGATGCTCAGGTCCCGACACACACAGCCGCTGTTTCTGCTTTCATTACAACTTCCTGACGGGAAAAAGAACCCGTCTTAAACCCTGCATTGGGCAGAATGGATCGCAGAATTGTTCTCGCCCTTCTGGCGCGCCGCAGCTTGCGGGGTAACGCGATTAACAGTGACCCAGCTAAGCCGCAGCTGTTCCCGAGCCGGCCGGGCGGCAGCAGCCGGGGAGCGGGCGAGGGAGCCACGGGCAGACCTGCTTGGGGTCTTCCTCCGGCTGCGGTCTCCGCCGGATCTCCCACCAACAACAGTGCCCCGGCCTGACACAGACAGAGCCGGGAGCCCCGGTGCAGACAGGGGTGGTCCCGACGCGTAGCAGTGACCTCCCCCACCCCGAGGGTGCTGCCAAGATACAGCAKCGCGTCCCCGGGCGCGCCCAGCCACGGGAATGGACAAGAAAGATGCGAGGAGGTCGGAGTGACTGCGCCGCTCTCCTCTGCTTCTCCCCCCTACCCGCGGCCCCGCTTCACCTCAGCCCGACGGGGAGCGGGGGCCGCCGCGGGGAGGCTGCTCCCTCCCCCGCCGCCGTGTGACCTCATGCGGGAGGAAGCGCCGGGCCGCCCCCGCCGCTCCCACACGGATGCCGGGGAGGGAAGGGCACGGMAGGCGGGGCGGGGGCTGCCGCTCTGACTCAGCCGCCGGCGGGGACACGCCGCGCTGACACTCCGGCCACGCCGCCGCGCGGCCGCCGATCACGCGCGGGCACCCGGCGCCCATTGGCCGCCGCCCCACACACCTTTGCCGGCGATTGGCCGGAGGGCGCCCGGGGGCCCCGCCCACCCCCCCGCGCGCGGGCCCGGGGGCGCCGCCGCCCGAGCGGGGAGCGGCGAACAAAAAGAGGAAAACCGGGAGAGCGGCGGCGGCACCTCGGGGCGGGCTCGGCTCCTCCGGTGAGCTACCCGGGCATCCCGGGGGGTCGGGTGGCTGGGACGGAGGGTGTCCCTGGGGATGGTACGGCGGGGGGATCCCCGGGCACGTGCGGGGACGACCCACATAGGAGGGACCGCGGGCGGGAGACCTGGCTGGGGCGGCGGCTGGAGGGGGTGAGTCGTGGCGGGGTACTAGGACTGCTGGGGTGGGCAGTCGGGAGAGCCGCCCGCGTGGGGAGASCCCCGCAGGGCAACCTTGGGAGGARAGCCGCCGGAGGGAGGCAAGGAGGGAGAGAAGCCGCCGAGAACCTGTTGGCAGCGCTGGTCCGACGCCGTGCAGCCCCTGAGCCTGCGTGCCCGCCCAAGTGTGGGCGCCGGGCTCGGCGGCTGCATGAAGCAAGTGGCATTGGCGAGGGAGCAGGAGAAAGCCGGGGGATCCCGGCGCCACGCGGGGTGGGCGGCGCGGCGGCAAGGAAGAGGAGCGGTGCTGCGGGAAGAGCCGGCCGCCGCCCCCGCGCCCGCTCCCCGCAGGGACGCCTGTTGGTTTCCCTTCCCTTCCCCCGCGGCGGGAGGCGCCGGGTGTGGCGGCGCTGACCCCAGCCCGGTCCCCGCCCGCTGTGCCGGCTCCTCCCGCCCGGGCGCCTTCCCTCCCTCCCGCCCGCCCTCACAGCCGGCCGCCGCCGCGCGCCGGAGGCGGGGGCGCCGTGCGGGGAACTGGGGGAAAGGTCGGCGCGCGGCGGCGCCCGATCACGCTTTGTTCAGGTGCCCCGCCCCGGGCCGCGACCCGCTCGGCGCCGACCAATGGGCGCCCGGCGCGGCTCCGGGGGAACCAATAGGAGAGCGCGGGGGCGGTGCGCGTGGGGGCGGCCGGCGGGGTGCGCTGAGGTGAGGGTGGCGCGCGCCCAACCGCCGGGGGCGGGGCCCACGCGCGAGCCCCGCCCACAGCCCCGCCCACAGCCCCGCCCACAGCCCTGCGTGAGGGCCCGGCAGGAACACAGGGAGGTGATGTGTGTGTGCGGCTATATGTGGGGTATATATGTACATATATGTGTATGTATATCGCAGTTCTTCTAGCAGGTGATTTCCCTGCATGTATGTGTCAGAGAGACACTTTTGAGTATTTTCTAGAACAATTTTTGTTGTTAATACCTTTCGAAGAAAATGTGCATCAGTGCCAATGTGGTCCTTTCTCTTGTGCCAGAATAAGCACTGAGGGCTGTGTGTGTCCAAAGCAGAAATGGTAGGGGGGTGGAATGGTGGAAGAAGATTTGATTTACTTTATAGGGGGGAGATGAAGATTTTTCTTAAGCTCTCAGACACAACTTTTGCAATGTGGAAYAGCTTTGACATAGTTAAGATCCAGAGTAGTTCTTTTGTTTCAAGGAAGTATATAGTTTTCATCTGATGGCCATATTTCCCCACTAACAACTTCATAAAAATATTAYATGAATAAGAAAGAAGGCAAGAAAACACAGGTACACCAAGTGTTTTATCTTGCCCAGGTTGCTCTGTTTGTTTTTTGTAATGCCTTCTTACATTCTTCTTTACATTGCTGTTTACTTTACTGTTACATTGCTTCTTACATAAGCAACTGCAAAATACTCAAATTCAGCATCAGGTTTAAAGTTTCCTTTTWTTCTCTAACCAAAACAGGAGTAAGAAATGGAGATGATGACTGAAAAGCAGAGAGATATGAGGTGTTTCTGGAACGATACGCCCGAAAAAAGYGATTATGAGGCTGTAGAGGCCCTTATTTCTATGAGTTGCAACTGGAAATCAGACTTCAAGAAACATGCAGAAATGAGACCTATAACTCCTGCATCTGACATGTCAGAAGAAAGTGATGAGGCTTTGCTTCCTGGAGCGRCAGACTTTAATGTCATACCAGCATTTGTAAGTTTTTCACTCTGTATGTGTGTGTGCTTCTTTTTAACRATTAGTGTGGTGATGTGCTGTTAACATCCCCTCATTACTGTGTCTCTCTCCCCTGCACAGTGCCTGACCCCTCCCTACAGCCCTTCTGACTTGGAGATGTCGCAAGTGATCCATCCGCTCGGCAAGGTGCTGTCCGAGGCTGCCAAGCCTCCTCTGGCTGCTCCTCRGAGAGACACGGAGCTGTCTCCAGCAGCCAGGCCTCTGAAAGCTCGAGCGACCAGTGTTATCCGTCACACGGCTGATGCCCAGCTCTGTGATCACAAAACCTGCCCGGTGAGAACAGCCAGTGTGCTCAAATACCAGGACAGYGCTTCGAGGGAAACAAACAAGAAACAGAATGTCAAAGCAGAGCACTCCATGTGCTCCACCGTGGCACYGAGCAGAGCCAGTGCAGAGACCAGCAAACTGTCGGTGGCAGAAGGAAGAGCTGCAGAACCAGCTGTTGGTCCYGTGCCCTTGACAAAGTCCTCGGTGAGCAGGGAGGAGTCGGTCTCTGAACCAGCACAGCAGCCAGCAGTGGCAGCACCGCCATCCCCTGCCCAAGGCAGCGGAGCCCCCCCTGTGCCAGTGATTTGCCAAATGGTCCCACTGCCTGCAAACAACAATGTTGTGACGGCCATGGTGCCCAACACCRCGCCAAGCCAGCAGCCAGCTCTCTGTCAGCCCATGGTCTTCATGGGCACCCAGGTTCCCAAAGGTGCTGTCATGTTTGTTGTGCCTCAGCCRGTTGTGCAGGGCACAAAGGCTCCCATTGTTAGTCCAAATGGCACGAGACTCTCTCCCATAGCCCCTGCTCCTGGCTTTGTACCTTCTGCAGCAAAAACCACTGCTCAGGCTGATTCTTCAAGAATAAGAAGTCACATTTGTGGCTACCCAGGATGTGGGAAAACGTACTTCAAGAGCTCCCATTTGAAGGCGCACGTCAGAACGCACACAGGTTGGTCACTGCTGCTGCATGTTAAAAATTAATGTAGAAAATTGTGGTTATATATACAGCTTGTTATAGTTGTAGTGATTACCGGATCTGTTCATGGAACAAATTGTGGGTCAGCAATGAAATACTGTCTTTTGCCAGTGTGCATTGTAATGCTGCCTAATCTCTGACGGGAAATCTCCCYGAGGGGAAGTTGACTCAGCAGTTTGTTTGTGCTGGACTCGCTTCGTGTCAGAAGGTGTTCAGTAATGCATCTRTGGAAGCAAGGCCTTGCCCAACGTRGAGCATGCTCTCCAGAGTTAAAGGTGCCTTATTATACTTCTCCTCAGGAATGCCTTGGTCAGTAGTGGGCAAAACTTGGAGATTCTTCTATGAAAGAATGCAAGAATCTGCTCCAAACTGTTCTTGCCTTGGTTATTCTGGAGTAACTTCTCCAGCCTCAGCCCTTAACTGCAGTAGCAGAAAGAGTCCCATGTATTTTCAGAAAGGCTCATAGTGTACTACTCGAGCTCTGTTACATAAAACATTATTGCAGGATGTGCTTCAGAGGGGAGTTCTRGGCATGCTGAGTCATCACTATCCACAGTTTATGTGGAGCTGAGAGTTAAAATCAGCTGTCTTGAGATGTAAAGAGCATTTCAAACAATTTGGTTCCAAAGAGTTTTAAACTTTTAAYCCTTTTAAACCCTTTAAACYCTTACCTGTACTACTTAGCCTTGGCGATAATGAGTCTGCATGTTTAAATATTAGTATACARACTATTTTCTACATTTTGTGTGTATAAACTTACRTAGATTTTTGGCTCAACTGCCATAATAGAAACTTTACTGCCAGTTAAGGTAGTGGTGTTTTATTGCTCATTACTCACTGGGTTTTTCCCTTTGTAACTTCTTTCCTTTTAGGAGAAAAGCCATTCAGTTGCAGTTGGAAAGGCTGTGAGAGGAGATTTGCACGGTCTGATGAACTGTCTCGCCACCGCAGAACGCACACCGGGGAGAAGAAGTTTGCGTGCCCAATGTGCGAGCGGCGGTTCATGCGGAGCGACCACCTGACGAAGCACGCGCGTCGCCACTTGTCAGCGAAGAAGTTACCGAACTGGCAAATGGAAGTGAGCAAGCTCAATGATGTTGCCATGCCACCAACATCGGCGACTGCCCAGTGAAAGGACTTGTTCTGAAGACGGTGGAATTAACTGTTGTTGCTGGGATAGGCCGGCTGAAGAAAGGCTTTTTCTCCCGGTCTGTGGTTCTCCCACACTGGCTGCTGACAGCAGTGCAGAGAGGCAAAGACAGCCTGCGCTCAGCCACAAAAGATGTTGCTGGGAGAACCAGTGGCTGACTGGAATAGCGGGTGTCTCTTGTACTGGTAAGGAGAGAAAGAAAGGGAAAGTTCTAGAGCAGAGCAGCCACATTGTGCCAGTTTTGAATTTTGCAAATAACTTGTGTATGCTCTAGAGCCAGTCCCRTGCAAGTGTTCCTGAGGGTTTGCTGCTCATGCCTGAGACCAACCCCARTTTTAGCTGTCAGTCTTCAGTAGGCACAGACTAGGACAGCAGCAATGTACAGGCACAGGCTTGAAAGCCCAGAACCCATCTGCGTAAGATAATCTAAATCTGTTTTCCTACTTCTGCCACCTTTTCTTGGTAGGAACATTTTCCTCCTGACTGTTCTCCAGCCCCATCATAATGGATGATTTGGTGCCAGACTCCTGGAGATTTTAGGCATCTCYTCCTGCATGGGGGGTAGTTAACAAACTCAGCTTTTCACTGCTGTGTCCAGAAGGGACATTGGGATGGGCATGCAGGGGCACAAGGGCAGTCAAAGGGCAAGGGATGTTTCCGAATCCTTATTAGCTTTGTAATGTTTCCCAGCTGCTTTGGCAAGCTTTGTGATTGTTACAGCTGGTTATACCTGGGCATCGCATGGTGCTTCTGCTTTTGTGTTGCTTATGGTTTCCTTYCCACCTTCTCACTGTGCTTGTCATGAGTGAATACAGGGCACCTTGAAGACAAACTTGGGAACTTTAAACTATTCGGGTTGATTAAAGAAGAAAACCAAGAATCTTAGGCTTCTTGATTGTGTTATCCTTTGAAAGGCAGTTTATGCTAAAATTGAAATGGATATATTATGTATTGTATTAAATTAGAAAGTTGTGATTCAAAAAGCAAAACAMGGCAGCGAAGACACCAGCCTAGAACTTAAACTAGCTTTTGTGACAATGCATCACTTTTCACTATTTGTATTTTATCCTATTACATTGAGGACACCTATCAGAAAGTGAATGGTTTGAAAATAGTGTATTAGATATGCTTTTTGTGACTACTTTAAAGATTTGCACATTTCTTATGTTTTACTTTATACTTTGTTTACAATAAACCAATTTTCTTTAATATAGACCTCTTTTTTTTAATTCATGGCAGAACTTATCCTTTTGCAAGGAAAAAAACTCAAAATAAAATTGTCTTGACCAGTGGAACACTATCTCTTATTTTTTTTTTATATTTTTTAAGCACTATAAAGCCCACAGAGTGGAATTTCAAGTCTGTGCTTATTACTCTGCGTCTCTGTTTTGGTTTGATTTTGGGTTTTTTTTGTCCCAGCTCTTCATCCCCCTGCTTTTCTCTAGCGCCCAAATTAAACATGCATATGTGGGCCATTATCACGCTGATGAAAAGTATTTCCTTTTTGTTGGGGATTGCACTGCCTTCCCCAGGAAGGAACCCAGTCGTGTTCCTGATGGCCTGGCTGTTGGGCACAGGTGGTGGTTGCCATCCCCACAATGTGGGATCCAGGTCCCCTGTGGCCCTCCCCAGGGCTGGTGGGTGTGTGGTGCTGGCACTGAGATGGGCTCCGGGCTGGGGGTTTGCCTGCCCCATTAATTCTGTCCCTGCAGGAATCCCCTGCCAGGAGRAGAGAGGGAATTGGGGCTCTTCTATCTCAAGGCAGAGGCTGGGCAGCACAACTTCTCTGCCTGCTGCTCCTGTGTGCCAGTGGTGGCCATTGGTGCTGCTCATGTGAGTTCTTCTGCCTCCTGCTCCGCCTCCCTTGCCTGCAGGGATCCCCAGATTTCACAATGGCACGGATGCTGAGTCACTGCCCTTCCCTGCTGTGGCTGTGGGGCAGAGGCACTCCTTACCTTATCCTGTGTGACGCAGGCTGCTTAAGGAACGCCTGAGTCATTGCCCTTCTTGTTCCAGGTGGGATGTGCCATCATAGCCCAATGCAAAAGAGAGGCTCCTTCCCCAGGAATGTGAGTCCCATCTTGCTTCAGGGTATTTCTCATTTCATAGACATGAGATAA